TTAATATAAAATTGAATAAATAAGAGGATGTGGATCCTACACCGAAAGGACTCGAATGTGGCAACGCGAAAGTGTTGACTTTGGGATTGTATGCCTCGATTCTAAATCCTGAAAGAGGGCACAAAACAAGGGTGAGTGGACCAAGTTTATATACATACATAATACAAAAACAGTTATAAACATACTAACCCCCAAAGTTTTAAAAATGAAAACTATTAGCATAATAAATGATAGGTTTTTTTGAAAATCCTAGCATGCCGTAAACATCTCAAAAGACATATCGCGGAAGACATCGCGGAAATCAAAACATCACTAGTCTCATAGATCGTTTCGTAAGCACGGTGTGCTGCCAGTAAGATCATTGAATAATAATACTCCCGGCCCAATGCCTGCACCTAAGTCTCTGTGCTTGTAGCCACAGATAACTCCTTCCCGACCCAATGCCTGTCTCCGTGTCCCTCAGCCTTTCGCTCGAGATTATTTCTCCCGGCCTAATTGCCAACACCAGATCCTCGCCCCAGGTGGCATAGTGTCCACTAGGTATGCACAATTAGTTACACCTCGAAAAAATAACCACTCCATAGTATAAAGTCATCCATTGTTTATACTATAAAGAGGGGTTTTGAAAACATGTTCTAGCATCCTATTGTCATCCATCAGATAGTTTACCAGTTCATGATTTTTATAGAAAATACGATATATTTTAAAATATAGCTCAATATAGGCCAACAATGAATTCCTCACCAAAACCAGGAGACAAAAATCAACAAATTCAATAAACATGCTTAACATAAAATCAAATTATAAACTCGTGAGGCATGCTATTCATTTATGCAATTGAATTGTAAAAACATGTAATTTTAGAAGAGGTCCACTCAGTACTTAGCCGCCAGAAATTGCGCTACTAGCGAAGACGAAAACGTCATAATAATTGCCCCTAAGCACATAAATAGCACATTTAGTCAAACTCTACTCAAATGATTTAATTTGAGAAAACGAACATCGGAAACGGATTCAGGATGTCGAAATTAGCCTAGGGGGTCTCGGATGAAAACTGAAAGTTAACCCGAAAGTCAAAGTCAACGGGTTAGTCAATTAGGTCAGACTAGGTTAACGGGTTTTGAGCTTGGATTCGGATTAGGGCTTAGGTCCAAAAGCCCAAGGGTTTAGAGATTGGGCTTAAAGCCTTTATTAGAAAATGGCCCAAGGGGCCCTATTTGATTTAAAACAAATTAAATAAAAGAAAATGGGTTTTGGGTTGGGATAGGTTTAGGGACAAAAAGGGTGGTTTGGGCTTGAGCCCAAACCCACACAACACACACAACACACTCCAGCACAAACACATGCATGCACAACACACATGCACACATGCATCGCACAACACACATACACAAACACACACACACACACACACACACCCACCCACACATACACACATACCCACACATACACACACACACACGTGCACAGACACAGACACAGACACACACACAACACACATGCACAGATACACACACATGCACGACCTAACACACATACCACACACACGCACTAAGCCTAAGAATGACACGGCTCGCAGGCCAAATAACAAAAGGAAAATTGGGCTGGCTAAAACGGGCTTAGAGTCTGTGGGTTTTGAGAAATGGCCTAAAAGGCTTGGTGTCGCCAGAAATAATGGAGAGGAACGCCTGAGCATTCCCAGCTCTGGCCGACTGCAAACCACAACCCTAGACTCGATCTAGGTATCAAATTGAAGAGTGAGACAAGGGGAAGAGATTTATACCTCTATTGGCCGTGAAACGGCCGGAGGTGAACGAGAAGCTATTTGACACCCACGGTTTCGCCGGAAATGGGTTTAGTACACCTGAGCCAATTTCGTGCTAAAACCTAGGTAAGCAGAATGGAATTACTTCAATAATCACCTCCAAACATCAACACACGAAGAATATAAGGAAATACGAGGCTTACCTAACCGAAAAACGAAGAACTCTTGCCGGAGAGTTTTCTGGGTTCACCGAGCCGCGCGGCGACAGGAGAGAGAGAGACGGCATAAAGGAGATGATGATGGGTTTCCTCGAGCAGGTATGCAATTGGGTGTGTGCGTGTGTGGTCACGGGGAAGAGATGAGAGAGATGAGGATTTTGAGAGAGGAAAGGGAGTGTGCAGAGAAAGAGAGAAGAACAAAGGGGTTAAGGGGTAGGAGACAGAGAGAGAACATGAGGGTTGATAGGGTACTACCAATTTGGTAAAGGAATATAGACTAAATTGATAATTTCATAAACATTTTGGGGAACAACAAAATTATACATATAAATGGGGGTTGGGGTATTACAGTTGATGAAATTTCCAACCCCCTATGGTAATGGTTACATCAGAGGAGATCAACTTGGTTTGTACCATACTTAGGGCCTCCGTATTTAGGCCTCGTATAAATACTCGGGGGACTCAAGTGTAATTATGTAATAAATGAAGGGGCAAATATGTAATAAGTGAGGAGCCTTTATTCTATAAAAGGACTCCTCACTCTCCTCATTGAGGAGGCCAAGTTTTAGGCCATGGGAGGAGAGCACACAGAAAATAGGCTAGATAGCACACTGCCTCTAGCCTTCTTGTATATTCACCATTTAGAGTGAAATAATATCAACATCAGTGTGGATGTAGCCCAAACATTGGGGTGAACCACGATACATCTTGTGGTCTTTACTTTCTTGCAGATTCATGGTCGGATTTACGTTGTTCCAAGACCCCTCCGGTTTTGTGCATCAACATTTGGCGCTGTCTGTGGGAATCGACACGAAAAACTATGTCGGTTCTCTTTCATTTTTTCACCTTCACCATGAATCTGCAAAATCTGCAAAAACCCAACAACCTAAAGCTTTCCCAGAAAAACCCAAGAAACCAGTCCCATTTCTCTTTACAGATCACCTTCTCTTTTTGCTTCCTCTCTCCCTCTCTCTCTCTTCAACCCCGAGAACTTTAAACTTTCTCTCTCTAAAATCTAACCCCTGAAATATTGTAAAATGACAACAGAGTCTCAACATGTCCGCCATTTCTCTTTCCAAATTCATCACCTTCTCCTTCACCTACAAAGCTTCAGTGCATGGTATACAAAGACCGCTTCCGAACAACTGCCACTTCGGCCCATACATGGATTGAATTTGAAGTCTCCAGCCAACAGACCCTATTGAATGAAGACTTGGGGGACTACACTATGTACCATATATTGGGCTTCCACAAATGGGCCTCATGAAAAATACTTGGGGGACTTAGCCCATTATTTATGTACTGAGGAGCGAACCCTTATTCTATAGGAGGGACTCCCTCACTTTCATTAGAGAGCACCCATTATTCATGTATTGAGGAGCGAACCCTTATTTTATAAAAGGGACTCCCTCACCTTCATTAGAGAGAGACTCTTAGCCAATCACTTATGTATTGAAGAGCGACCCCTTATTCTATAAAAGGGACTCCCTCACCTTCAACGCCACAAGCCGAGCCAACCAAGGCAACATAAGCCACAAGCTGAACAGCCTCGCAACATGTGCTACTTCTAGTTGAGCATCATTTCACATTGAGCACCGCCTTATATCGAGTATCAGTTCTAGACGACATCTAGTTACTTCGGCCCACACATGGACTGAATTTCAAGTCTCCAGCCAAAAGACTCTCTTGACTGAAGACTTGGGGGACTACTGTTTGTACTATACTTAGGGCCTCCGTATTTAGGCCTCGTATAAATACTCGAGAAACTCAAGTGTAATTATGTAATAAATGAAGGGGCAAATATGCAATAAGTGATGAGCCCTTATTCTATAAAAGGACTCCTCACTCTCCTCATTGAGGAGGCCAAGTTTTAGGCCATGGGAAGAGAGCACACAAAAAATAGGCTATAGAGCACACTACCTCTAGCCTTATTGTATATTCACCATTCAGAGTGAAACAATATCAACATCAGTGTGGATGTAGCCCAAACATTGGGGTGAACCACGATACATCTTGTGTTCTTTACTTTCTTGCAGATTCATGGTCGGATTTACGTTGTTCCAAAACCCATCCGGTTTTGTGCATTAACAAACTTAATGTACGGTCATGTTACAACACTTCAGTCAAGCAACAACACCTGCTTGTGCCCAAGGAAACCCTTTCTATACATGACCAAGTCATAAAGATTCGCCCGGACGAAGCCAACTTGGATTTTCATGGTGGCAACAGTCAACATGACGATCTTCGAAATGACTCTTTCACCCAGCAAGCACAACCCGCTGAAGAGTTGGAGAAGCTCTCTATCTCAAAAGATTATTCGGATCACATGGTGAAGATTGGCACCACCTTGTCACCACCTATTCGGTTGGCATTGATATCTTTTTTGTAAGAGAACAATGAGGTTTTCGCCTGGTCATACGAGGACGTGCCAGACATCTCTCCTGATATCATCTGTCATCGCTTGAGTATTGACCGTAAGACCAAGCCAGTAAGACAGAAGTGAAGATCTTATGACGCTAAACGATATGAAGGTAGAAGTTGAAAAACTCAAAGGCATAGGCTTCGTCCGTGAAGTCAATTACCTAACATGGGTAGCAAATGTGGTCTTTGTTAAGAAAAATCCGACCAAAGAAAGTCTCTTGCTTCAAAAGATCTTGTGGAGAATGTGTGTCGACTACTCCGACCTAAACAAAGGATGCTTGAAGGATAACTTTCCCATTCCTCTCATTAATAGACTTGTGGACTCTACAGCAGGGTCTAAACACTTAAGCTTTATGGATGCTTACTCGGGGTACAACCAAATCCTCATGAACCTCTCGGACCAAGAACACACGGCCTTCACTATTGACAGAGGATTATATTGCTATAAAGTCATGCCGTTCGGCCTAAAGAATGTAGAGGCGACTTATCAGAGACTAGTCAATTCAATGTTCGCTGAACAGATTGGGAAGAACATGGAAGTTTATGCTGATAATATGCTAGTCAAGAGTAAACATGCTAACCAACACATCACCAACTTGTCTGAAACCTTCATCATCCTGAAGAAGTATCGAATGAAGTTGAACCCTAACAAATGCGCCTTCAGCGTGGGCTCTGGAAAATTCTTGGGTTTCATGATTAGCCAATGAGGCATTGAAGCCAACCCCGAGAAAATCAAGGCAATCATTGACATGAAAGAGCCGATAAATTCAAAAGACATCCAGAGCCTTACTAACAAGGTGGCAACCTTGACCAGGTTCATCTCTAAGGCCACAGACAAGTGCGCTCATTTTTTCAAAGCACGTAAGGGAAGTAAGAAGTACATCACATGGACTGATGAATGTGTCCAAGCATTCAAGAACCTCAAGGAGTACATGGGTAAAGCCTATTTGCTCTCCAAACCTAAAATTGATGGCACCCTCATTGTCTATCTGTCTATTTTGGCTTCAGCGGTTAGTTCCGTTCTCATTCGAAGGGATGGTAATGTCGAACGACCTATTTACTATGCTAGCAAGGCTTTACAAGATGCAGAGACATGATACTCCAACATTGAGAAATTAGCTATAGCATTGGTCATGACTGCTCGGAAGCTTCGCCCCTACTTCCAAGCACAGTCCATCATTGTACTTACCAATCACCCCATTCGACAGATACTTCAGAGTCCTGACACTTTGGGGTGAATGATCAAATGGGCGACAGCACTGGGTGAGTTTAACATCTCCTACTAACCAAAGCCGGCTAGAAGGGCCAAGTAGTGGCAGATTTCATCGTCGAATTCACTTATCCTGTTGACATTGCTTCTACACCTGAAACGGTGGCTTCATTGCCCCCGGAAAATCAGAAGATAGAACCAACTTTCCTAGTATGGACTCTATATGTTGACGGCTTATCCAACCAACAGGGTTGTGGAGCAGGACTAGTCTTGACTGCCCCAGACAAAGTGGTAATGGAGTATGCTATTCATTTCAAATTCAAGGCATCAAATAATGAGGTCGAGTATGAAGCCCTCCTAGCAGGCTTACGTTTGGCCAAACACCTTGGGGTTAAACGAATTGATATCTTCAGTGACTTCTAATTGGTGGTTAACCAGGTTGCCAACAACTTTGACACTAAGGATAGCTCCATGGCAGCATATCTTGCACAAACATAACTATTGCTCGAGCACTTGAGCGACAAATAGTCATGCAGATCCTTTGGCTAGCCTCGCCTCAACAGTAGAATACAAGATTGGGAGAAAAATTCAGGTCGAATTGTTGGCAGCACTAAGCACCATGGCCGCGAAAGTGTGCAACTTACAATAGGGGGATAGTTGGATTACCCCGATTTATAAATTCCTTGCTCATGGCACTCTTCTTAATGACAAAGTCCAAGCTAAACAGATTCGATACAAGTCTACTTGTTACTTGATCATTAATGACCAACTCTACAAGCGGGGTTTTAACTTACCATACCTAAGATGCCTTACGTTTGCGGAGGCAGAAATTGTCCTTCTAGAAATACATGAAGGAGTCTGCAGAGATGATGCTGGATCTCGATCCCTAACACATAAGGCTTTTCGCCAAGGATATTACTGGCCAACACTCCACCAAGATGCCATCATAATATCTCGCTCATGTGATTAGTGTCAATGCTACGCAACTTTTCCTCACTCCCCTCCCGAGTCGCTCACTCTTATGATCAGCCCTTAGCTCTTCGCCCAATGGGGACTTGATTTGATCGGCCCAATGCCTGTAGGGAAAGGCAAGGTCTGCTATGCAATCGTTGCAGTTGACTACTTCACAAAGTGGGCCGAAGTAGAACCCTTGGCAACCATTACTGAGGCAAAAATAAAAAACTTTGTATGGAAGAACTTTCTTTGTAGATTCGGCATTCCCAATATGATAGTCACTAACAACGGGCGACAGTTTGACAACAATAAGTTCAGGATGTTCTGCTCTAAGTTCAACATCAACTTATGTTTCGTCTCCCCAGCTCATCCCCAGTCTAATGGATAAGTTGAAGCCATCAACAAAATAATCAAGCGCACTTTGAAAACCAGCTTGGACAAGGCTTAAGGTTGTTGGCCAGAATTTGTAGCCCAAGTTCTTTGGTCATACCACATTGCGTATCGGACTTTAACAATAGAAACTTCATTCTTACTTACTTTTGGTACATAGGCAGTTGTCCTAGTTGAACTTGAGCAAGCAACGTTTTGAGTCTAGAATTACGTGCAAAGCGAAAATAACAAACAACTTACCCTCAACTTAGATCTAATCGAGGAACACATAAACCAGGCTTACTTGAGGAATGTCACCTATAAGCAGCGCAAATCCAACTACTATGACTCACTGGTCAAACCTCGTTCTTTCAAAGTGGGGAATTGGGCATTGAAGATAAGATTACTCTGAGACAGAGTCCCGAGTGAAGGAACACTTAGTCCAAACTAGGATGGATTGTTTGAAGTTGTTGGCATCAATTGCCCTGGCTCCTACAAGCTTAGAAGCTCCGATGGTAAGACCCTTGGCCATCTATGGAATGATGATCACTTGAAGTACTATTACAAGTAAACTCACATTGTACAAGTGTTAAGCTTTATCCATTTTGCATCCTATGTAACGAATACCATTTGGCATGAATTCAATAAAGAGGTGATTTAGACAACTCGGTCCTAATCCTCTTACATTCTTAGCAATGAAACACTCGGGTTCAAAGCTTCAACATGAATGTTCCCAACATGAAATAAAGTCTAAGTATATGTCAACAAGACTATACAATAAACGAATAGCTCCAAAGTATATTCGTTCAATCTTACCCAAGTTATGGCTTATATCCAAACAAAGGATTTGTTCAAACATAGCCAAGCATTCATCAATGATAATGCAAATACTTGGCAATTAACATCAAATTATACGGCGCAAAGTCGTAAACATCCATAAATAAAAATCTTTCAGGCTTACAACATAGCACATGCCACATAAACAACAAACTAGGACATCCAGAGTACATGACACGTGCCACACAAATAACAAACTAGTACATCCAGAGTACATGGCACATGCCACACAAACAACAAACTCGTACATCCAGAGTACATGCAGAAAAAGAGGGCACTATGAGTCATCCTCATCTGAGGTCGAACCCCTAACAATACCACTCTGCTTTTCAACCCCATCGCCTTCACCACCATCCTCAGCATCTCTAGGACCATCCTCACTCTATTGAGACTGCTCACTGATACTAGCCTCATTATCAGAGTCATCCTCACTACTAGGATCAACTACGAGGATGAAGGTTTCACCTTTTTGTCGGTACTCATCCATCTTATTGTGGTACTTTCGGATAATGCTTCCATTGTCGTAATGCCCAAGGATGGCCATCAATTTCCTTTTCTCAAAATTAGCCGCCCGGATGCAGTGAGGTCTAAAGGCATCATGAAAAGCCTTGGAACCTAAGAACTCCTGAACGGTAGCGTTCTTCTCAGTTGGGATACTCCTCTTCAGCCCAGAAACCTCAACCAAGGCACTATCCAACTCCCCTTTAACCTTGGAAACCTTGAGGATAGTTGTTTCCAACTGTTTCTTAGTCGCTTCCAATTGTTTCTTGAGCCTCACGTTCTCACCATTCCGTATCTTTAGACTCTTAAAGTTTTGATCCTTAAGGTGGATGGCCTCAGCCAAAGCTTTGCTCATTTTTCTGGCGTCATTTACAAGTTGCTTATTCTCTTTAAACTTTGCCCTAAACCGCTCGACCTCTCGTAATCTGTCATAGTACTTGGTCATGACCTACATGACAAGATGATCGTCACTGCCAGGAAAAAGAGGGGAGAAAGTAAAAAATGACAGAGTAACACTTACATAAGAAGATAGCTTTATCATCCGGTCACGATCTAATTCGTTCTCATATAGTGGCTCACCAAGCTCGTCAACAGTGGATCGACATCCTGCTAGGCAATTATTGACATACCTAAAACTACTTGGTTGCATGGCAACCTTTAAGTCCTGCCAATGGATGCTGCCAACTTCTTCCTTGTACTTCCTCTTACGGTTGGAGCTAGGGTCACCTTCTTGGTCAGTAGATTCCATGGCTGGAGGAAATATGGGGTTAATGGTAGGAAGAGGAGGCAACAATTGTCTCTCATCCCCTGCAATTATGGCAGCAGCACACCCGATGGCCTCAGCTTCAGCCTTCTTTGAGGCAGTAATCTTGAGGACATCCTCTTGCGACTTTGGTCTAGGGGCTGGCCTCACCCGGTGTTTACGAGCTCCCTTGTGAAACAAAATGTCGTCTACAGGAACTAACATGGGTGCTTTTCCTTTCTTGGCGCTAGTCCCCCCTTTCTTGCCCACTTTCTCCACTGAACAAGAAAAATCAAAGTAAGGAATGCAACTTTGTAAAAAAAGAGGGGGCGAAATGAAAGATACAACTTACTTGCTCGTTTCTGGCACTCCGACACTAGGGGCTGGAAACCATACTTTTGAAATAAGGGTCGTAGCTTGCCTAAGTGTCTATCCTCTTTGAGCACCCTCAACACCTTCTTTACGTCAGCTAGCTCTCATCCAAACAGCTTGATGGTCCCTTGCGTCACTGCACGAAGAAAAATGTTAGAAGCAAGAGAAAATCACAACAAATAGCAAATAATGAAAATAATGGATACATTACAACCTACAGTCTGGAAGTGAGTAGGAACATGTTGCTTAGGCGTGACACCCTTAGCATACTCCCAATCATTATAAAGAAAGGACCAACGATTTTTCCAAGTGCAGTACGCCTTTTTCTTACCAAAGACAATACACTCTCTCTCACTCTGACATGCACACTCGGCATACCCAGTGCATGCTTTCATCGGGCGTATCTTATAGCAGTAGCGCCACTGATGAAAGGAAGGCTCACCTAACCCATATTCCATCTAAATAATATAAAACCCGATCAAGGTATCCCAAAAACCAGTGTTGAGTTACCCAGGTGTATATCCAGTGAAAGATAACATCCGTTGCAACCACGGGTCCAAAGGCAGCTTCACCCCTAAGGTCAATAATATCTAGGTATAGAACATAACATGACCCTTGGGCGGTTCAGAGGACAATTCTTCATGATGCACCTAGCACATTCCTACACTACGGGGATACTACATGACTGCCTTAGGGCCTTTAGCTGCTTTTCGCTATTTAACAAGTTGTTCTCTAAATGGTCTGCTGTAAACTCAGAATGAAATATGGGTATGGCGTAAAAAACAACCCCCTCACCCACTGACATGAAGGAGGAAGAACCAACATTGGCTAGGTT